CAAAAGGCAAGTACAGAGCTATTGTGGCACTGAGTTATCAGAGCCAGACATGGGAAGAACTCAGATGTTCATTTTGTCCAAGGGATGACGACATTCCACCATGGCACAGCAGCGCGGTACGGTACAGTGCTGAACGTGAATGGATCGTAGTGGACGACTCTTACCAATCTCAAGTTGAGCTAAAGAAGCTGGACACAAGAGAGCATACTTTTTTTTCCCCAAGACAGAGTCTCGCTCTGTCCCCCAGGCTGGAGTGCAGTGGCGCAATTTTGGCTCACTGCGACCTCTGCCTCCCGGGTTCAGGTGAGAAGAGAAGGCATGCTTTTTGATTCCTTGTTTCTAAGGTTCACAGTGAAGCCACAGCAGTCTGCTGTGAGCTGTCTGGCAGGTGATTTGTAGAGGGGCTGGTGACTGGCAGGGGGTTCCTGCAGGAGCTGCCTTCACGGGAGGCACATCAGGGGTTCACTTAGGACGTGTGTACTTTCCAGTGTGTGGGGTACACTCAAATGGTAGGGGTATCAAAAGAAAGAATAACAAGAGTGCCTTTAATTTTATACTTGGAGGTGGTAAAATGGCACGTGTCATTGCTAAGTCAGCAATCAGGAGAAGAGGGGGCTTTAAAAAATTAAATCATATAAACTAAGTATTCGTTTAAATAGACTGTTATTCTAAAATTTAAAAAAAAAGTCTGTTATTCCCAAAAGATGATATCGAAATGGCCAAGAAGTGTCTAGTGGCCCTTTAGGGAAATGTTTCTGGAGACAGTGAGGCCACCACCTGGTTCCAGAGTGAGGTGACCAAGCTGCATGCTCTGCCGCTCAGTGTCGGGCTCTCAGGGCAGAGCGGAGGCTTGGTCTTTGTTGTGTTAGATGCTGTGTCATGCTGGGTGGCAGATGCTGCCATAGAGCCATGACCCTCATGGTGTTGGCTGAGTTGCCCAGTTTCTGTGTCTGTCAGCCACCGTTTAGGAGCTAAGGGGCTGACATTCGTTCGGATGGCTCACATCCATGGCTGCAAAACAATCTCTTTTCCAGAGCTTGTGGGACTTCTGGTTTTTATTCTCAGGTTGCACCATAATGGGTAAAAAAAAAATTTTTTTTAAGTCCAGCAACTCCAAGTGTTAGTGAGGACATAGAAAAGTTGGAACACACATGTAACGATAAATTTTTGTGACATGCGACCGCCTGTAAACTCTTCGGCGGAGTCTACTAACGCTTAAACATGCCAATTCTATGACCCAGCAATTCCATCCCTGGTGTGTGCCCACAAAAAATGAGGACAAGCAAAAGACAGCACTGAAATGTTCGTGGGAGCTTGTGAATAGCAAGAGAATTTGACTCAGGTTAATTTCCTTGTTCTGTTTCCCTGGGCACAGAGAAAGTTGGTGCAGCCATGTTAATGGGCACCATGTGGACTGCAAACCCCTGATGGTGAGGCTCTTCTCTGGGCCCTCTGGTGGCAGCTCTTGTGAGTGTCCTGGTTCTGCCTGAGCAGCTGGTAGAGGAGAGGAGGCGCCTGTGGGCAAAGAGCCCTCTAAGCCAGGGCGGCTCCTACATTCTCTCTCCCCTTCCCCCTGATCTCTTGCGTCCCTGCTGCAGCGATGCTCCTGGGAGAAGAGCCGGTGCTGCTTGTGTGCTGCTTGAGTAGACGGGCTGGGGCCGTCTTCTGAGTCTGAGAAGGTGTCCCCCACTTGAGGCAGGGGTAACACTGCAAATAGCTTCACCCATAGTAGCCAAACACCGGAAACAACGCAGACACTTCATTGGAATGGATAAATAAACTGTCGCCAGAGCGCAGGAAGGTTTAATAAGCAGCAGTGAATAAGAACGGGCTGACAGACTGAGCAAGGCTGCACCTTAAACATACTGTGTTGAACAGAAGTCCAGTGTACAAAAGAGGATGTGCTTTGTGATTCCATTAGGTGAAGTTCACAAGTCAGCCAGAAGGAATTGATGGTGACAGCCGTCGGGATAGGGCTGTCTCCTTTGGGGTGGGTCTTGATTGGGAAAAGGAACTTGAGAGAACCTTCTAGGACAGTGGACCTTATAGGATAATTTTATTTCTTGATTTAAGGTAGTGGTTACATTTGTAAAAATCATCGACCTCTACATTTAGGATTTGTGCCCGTCACATACCTTGTTGTATATTTTGCCACTTGTTTTTTCAAAGCAATGAAGCAGTATCACTGCAATTAGGTTTTAAATAAATTTGTTTCGTTAACATGTCTGGAAGTCTTTGATCCTACTGTGGAAGGCCTCGCTGCTGCCTGGCCCACCTCAGTCAGGCCCTTGAAAAGTATAGAGAAGGAGCAGAGTGTCCGGCCCCCTTTGGGGCATTGCCTGGGGTTTGGGTGGGAGCTAAGGGTCGCACACAGTAAGTGGTAACGGAGGCTTCGGCTCTGCAAGGGCACTGCAAGAAGGGTTGTGTACGCCACATCACGCGCCACATTCATATGCATATCTTCTTCTCCATAGAAACTTAAATTTAAAGTGACATGTGATAGGAAATGTAGGGAGCTGCGATTCTCCTGGGAGATGGAGGCGCTTACAGCACAGAGCCAGTGAGAACTCGCAGCAGAGAGCAGAGCAGGTACCAGGCAGTCTGCACTGTGGGGGGTGTGAGTTCCAGAGCGAGGGGGGCCGAGGCCACCTTCAGGTTTCTGTTATTAAATGAAAGCCTGCCCCTGTTCCTTGTTGTGTGTGTGTGCGGGATCTGCCTGCTCTCTCCCACCTCCTCTAGGCTGGCAGTCGAAGGCAAAGTCTCAGCAGCCAGTGGCCAGTGGCTATCACTGGGTTTTATTGTTTTTATCCCAGAAAAGCTGCTGCTACCTACCGCTGCCACTTTTTAGATACTGTCATTCAAGCTTACCAAAGCGGGACTTGCTCTTTGGAGAAAAAAAAATACTGAGAATTATTCTGTAATCATGCCATGCAATAATTCATGCCACCATTTGCATTTTTGGTGGTATCATTTGGGATCCTTTCTGGGGTGCACCTGTGCTGTCTGCCAGGCGGCTCCTCAGCTCTTGGCTGCTGCTTTTCCCTGCTGACTCAGTTCAGTGCCTGGTTGCAGAGCCACCTTGGTGCCCTGGCAGCTCTTCCTTCTGCACCCGGCGCCCTCTGCCGTAGCTCCCTGCTGTGCCCTCACGCCCTGGCCACTCTTCCTTCTGCACCTGGCGCCCTCTGCTGCAGCTCCCCGCTGTGGCTCCTGGGCTTCATCTCTCTTCTCTGTGGATGCATCTTCAACAAAAGCACTGAGCATCTTCCTGCTTTGCAGGGTCTCTCGTCTTCTAGGAGGTCTTTCTGTTACCAGTGTGTGCCCGGGGTTGAGGGGCAGTGGGGCGCATGTTTACAGAAGCTTTCATGAACTGGGTCCTGATGGTGGCAGCGTCTTGGGAGATGAAAAGTATCCCAGATCACCTGGCACCTGGGAACCAGGCGGACCTGCAAGGTGCGGTCAGCCCACTTCAGGCCTGCTCTGGTTTGATTGATGAGGACGCTCATCAATTGGAGGGACACGCTCTGTCCAGGATCTCAAAGCTGCACCCTGCTGACTCGCTTTTCCACACCTTCCTTCAGCGTGATATGTTTGGGTGACAGAGTTGTGCGTCTTTATAAAAGTAGCTTCTGATTGTGCAGTGTTTTTTCTATGCTGATTTTTTTCCCCTAAAAGATTTTGTTTATCTCATCTTTGAAAAATTGGGCTTTTTAGCTTTTACAGGAACATTTGATGGCACTTGTTGGTTCTCCCTTGTGGGTTCCAGATCCTTGATTTGTGTTCAGGGTGCCTTACAAGAGTTCTTACAGGAGTCACTTTCCCTGGCATTGGCAGCTCGTCACTTGTTGATTGGTAATTTGAAGAGCACCGGTGAACACATCACCAAAACTAGATACATCGTGAAGTTAGTGCCACCAGAGAAGAAGTCAGCATTGCCACTTAAAAGTGGAAGGTGCCATTTGATTAAGAGAAACATATTCCTATTTCAGAGATGCTAAAATGTGGGGAAACTGCATCTTCTGCAGTAGGCGCTTTTGCGTTTCTGATACTTCTTTTTTGTTTTTTAAATGGGAAGGCTCAAGTAAGCACAAAAGCAGAGAGGCTAACATAACACACTTATAGGGTCCATGAACAATGATAGGAGATGCAGCGCCTGGCCAGTCCTACCTCATCTGCGTCCTTGTTCACTTGCCCTGGGACATTTTTCAGATATGCACGTTGGGTTTCACCTCTAAATACTGCAGTGTATGTCTGAGCAATAGGGAGCTTTTTCTCCCAAACATAATTATCCTGCCTTTATCACACCTAAAGAGTGAACTGTAATTCCTCGTATCACCTGGTATTTCTACCCAGTATTCAGTGTCTGCTGTTGAACATGATCTTTCTTTTTTTATTATTATTATTTAAAAAAATTTTTTTGGTAATTTAAGTAGAGATGGAGTTTCACCATGTTGGCCAGGCTGGTCTCGAACTCCTGATGTTGTGATCCACCTGCCTTGGCCTCCCAAAGTGCTAAGATTACAGGCGTGAGTCACGGTGCCTGGCCAGACATGCTTGCTTTTAAATGTGACCAAGCAGGTATTTGAGATCTTAGTTTTCCCTCCCGTCTTGACACTGATGTGTGGCCAGTCTTCACACTTAGAGTAAATGATCAGATTAGTCTTTTTGTAGGCTTTTCCTTTTTTAAAAAATTTATGTTTCTGTATATATTTTTTAGATCTAGACCTGCAGAGGTTTTTTCTTAATAAAGTTCTCAAAAATACAATAAGTGAAAATTATGTGTGAAACCTGGTAACACATTTGAATGCAGGTCACTGCTTTTCTCTGCCCATGTGAATGTAGGTGACTAGTGTTCTCTGCCCTTTCTCTCTCCTGTAGCTCTGCAGGTCGCAGCACTGTTAGGTGGGGGTGGCTGCTTGAGGGACAGAGGGTTTTGCACGTTCAGGCTAGAGCATGTGGGTTTGTTCAAGCGCCCCTCTCACGTCCACACTTGCACCCCACAGGTCTCCGTCCCGCCTGGTGCTCTGGACTGCTGGGTGTTTCTGAGCTGTCTGGAGGTGTTGCAGAGGATAGAAGGCTGCTGTGACCGGGCACAGATCGACTCAAACATTGCCCACACAGTGGGGCTGTGGAGCTATGCCACAGAAAAGGTGCCTACCTGCCCAAGTGTGGAATGCTCACGTTGTCTCTGCGGCCATGCCTGGGTGGCAGAGGAAGTCTGCTGTCTGGAGGAAAGGTGTTACTTGTTTAGATCACGGTGCAGCCACGTTAGCGGCCTTAGCAGGCGTCTGAGTGCAGCCAAAGAAGTCATAATTCCCGACTACATGTCAATGTGGTCAGCAGACAGCAGGCGCTGTGAAAGAGACCCTGTATCCTGAGTTGGGGGCACGGAGGGTGGTACTGAAATGTCACCTCTACAGGCAGAGCTGTGCTGGTGTGTGCAGCAGGTAGGCGGCTGGGGCTGGGCTTGTGCAGGTGCCTGGGAACTCAGGGAGGTGAAGAGCAGAAGCGGAGGATTCCCACCCTCCAAGCCTCACTGGAGCTGTTGTGTAGGATGTACTTTTATATCCAGATTCGAGTCACTGGGTAGGAAAGCTCAATTTCTTCTAGAGTTTAGCTGGATTTGAATTTTTATATTTAAATTCACGAATTCCCTGCTGAGTCTTACGGCAAATTAATTGAAATTCCGGATTTGTCTTAACAGTTAAAGTCCTTGGGCTATCTGTGTGGACTTGTGTCAGAGAAAGGACCAAACTCAGAGGATCTCAACAGGACGGTGGACCTTTTGGCAGGTTTGGGAGCTGAGCGGCCAGAAACAGGTACTGATTTTTGTATGTGCCTCTGTGAGTAGTGAGGTGTACACTAATGAAAGCGTCCTTTGCAAGTTGGCACATTTAACTCAAGTTCTAAGAGTATCATTACTCACCATTGGGAGAATTATATCCGTTATTAGCTGACTGGATTAATACACATATTTTACCTTTTAACAGCATAACGAAATAGTAGAGAGTTTAAGAAATTGGAAGGAGTTTCAAAAATGTTGCTGAGCTTCTCCTGGGCTAAGTGACTTTTTATAGCTCATGTCTAAATGCACTCTCTCTGTCTCTGAATTACAGATGATCTATTTTTCTAACAATGTGACTTGACGATTTTTTTTTTTAAAGAGACAGGGTCTCACTCTGTTGCCCAGACTGGAGTGCAGTGGCACAGTCTTGGCTCATTGCAGCCTCGACCTCCTGGGCTCAAGGGATGCTCTTGCCTCAACGAACCAAGTAGCCGAGACAACAGGTGTGTGCCACCACACTTGGCTAATTTTTTTTCTTTAATTTTTTATAGAGATGGAGTCTCACTGTATTGCCCAGGCTGGTCTCAAAGTGATCCTCCTGCCCCGGCACATTTTTTAAATAAAAAAATTGGCCAGGCGCAGTGGCTCACGCTTGTAATCCCAGCATTTTGGGAGGACGAGGCGGGTGGATCACTTGAAGTTGAGAGTTTGAGACCAGCCTGACCAACATGGAGAAACCCTATCTCCACTAAAAATACAAAATTTGCTAGGTGTGGTGGCACATGCCTGTAGTCCCAGCTACTCAGGAGGCTGAGGCAGGAGAATCGCTTGAACCCAGGAGGGAGAGGTTGCAGTGAGCCAAGATTGTGCCATTGCACTTCAGCCTGGGCACAAGAGTGAAACTCTGTCTCAAAAAAAAAAATAAATAAATTTCTCCTGGATAATAAGGCCCCTTGAAAGGAGCCTTACATTGTTTTAGGTAGGAATAGATGATGAGTTTTGTTTAGCAAGACTGTTACTAAAGAATACCTGATGAGCTGGAAGCATTCTTAGTAAATTGAATGAATGTTTAAGGGAAAAAATGCACAGTATTTATATTTTACCGTTTCAACTTGAGACCATTTCAGATCATTTCAGAAATAATTTAATTCATTGGAGTATTTGTAATATATATTTCTGAAAGATCTAGTTCTAAAGATCAGAGAAAAAGCATGATACAAAGTGTTTTGACTATTTTATGAATATGTTAATTGAAAGAGAATATATGTAATTATGTTGTTGCAATTAGCATTAGCCATGTTTGGAATTTCCACAAGAGTCAGATGAGGTCATCTCCCTGCAGTATGTGAAGGTGAATGTAAACTTATATGAATGTACGTAATGAAGAAGGACTCTCATTTCTTTTTGTTTAAGCCAACACAGCTCAGAGTCCTTATAAGAAACTGAAAGAGGCATTATCATCAGTGGAAGCTTTTGAAAAACACTACTTAGTAAGTATTAACGAGTGTTAAATGTCTATTCCATGGAATACCTGTCTCTAGAAGGCTTTGCTACATGGCCTGTTGAGTTGGGAAGGAGCTGGTATTGGGGACCCATTTTTGTTGGCCTTTTAAGTTTCTTTGGTACCCTTGGGAGTTGTGGACAAAACATGGAATAGTTGTTATTAGTACCCATGGTACCATATTAGGCATGGAATCATCTTTGAATATTTACAGCTTTGTTCAAATTGAGTTTGCTCAGATCAAAATTATAAGAGAGGATAATGAATACTTTTCCTTGTAAAAAGGAGAAATTTGGAGTTGGGCAGAGCTATTGTATTTGATTTTGAAAGATGTAAATTAGTGAAACGTTAAATAACAGTGTAGGTAGAAGCATGGTGGGTGAGTGTCGTCCCTGGATCATGGGCAGCTTGAGTGTTTGTTGTGCCTGTAATGGCTGTATCTCTTATACAAACAGGTATGAGAAACATCCAGCATGTCACCCACGTGCGGAAAGTCCTTGGAAAAGTTAACTGTTTTGGATGAATCTGTGGGTTTCTTTTATTATTATGCTTCATAATTTATATACAAGTTATCAACTTTGATTACATTATGTTACAGAAAAAACACAAAAACAGACGCAAAGGAAAAAATAATGCTACATTAATAACAGTGTCTTTTGCGGGCTGGGCATGGTCGCTCATGCCTGTCATTCAGCACTTTGGGAGGCTGAGGCAGGTGGATTACTTGAGGTCAGGAGTTTGAGACCAGCCTAGCCCACATGGTAAAACCCCATCTCTGCTAAAAATACAGAAAATTAGCCGGGCATGGTGGCGCATACCTGTAATCCCAGCTACATAGGAGGCTCAGGGACAAGAATCACTTAAACCTGTGAGGTGGAGGTTGCAGTGAGCTGAGATCTCACCTCTGCACCAGCCTGGGCAGCAAAGCAAGACTCAGTCTCAAAACAAGGAACCCAACAATGTCTTGTGTCAACTTTAGGTAAATAAATGTAGTGTTCGTCTGTCATTGAAAGCTGAAGTACGTGATTGTTTTCTTACTTCCCCACAGGATTTGTCTCATGCTACCATTGAAATGTATACAAGCATTGGGAGGATTCGATCTGCCAAGTTTGTTGGAAAAGATCTGGCAGAGTTTTACATGTAATTGATTTTGTACTTTTCTTTGAAACCTAAACATACAAATAACACAAGAAGATTTGTTATATATGGAGTTAATATAAAGTGTACGTAAATTTGTAGATTGAAAAGTGTAGCTTCTCTTACCCATCCTCATCATTTTGTTTTTCAGTTTCTTCTGAAAACCAGTGGAGAGCTTTTCTGCTTGTTACTCTTAATAGCTAGTATTGATCTTTGTGGTTCTTTTATTTAATTAAACATCTAAATTTTTGTAACTAAGTATAATTAATTCTAAGGAAGTATAGTGATGAGTAAATTGACATGTAGATTCTTACATATTTTGTACGTAGCATTTCTCTAGTTTTGTCAAGTATTTCTTAAGAGGATTGAAAAACCTCAAGGCTAGTGATGTAAAGTTGCTACATGTGTCCAGTTTGTGGAAGACTGGAAGAAGGTGTGTACATATCTGCAGGGTTTCTATTCCAGCCCCAGTGTTGAAGTTTGATTCTAGAAAAAAAGACTTAAAATTTAGCATATTGCTAGTATGTTTCATAAAATCAGGCTCTCAAAGAGAAGAAATCCCAATGGATCATGATTACTATTTCAAAGCACTGAAAAGAGATATGTTATAAGGAAAAAGATGTTTGTTTTCATTTTCTTAAAAAAAAAAAAAAGTGATTGGAATGAGATCTTGAAATCTGTACTGAAGTAATTTCATTAGGTGAAGCAAGACTTGAGAATTGATTTGAACATATGTGAATTGGCTGGAAAGGGATTCGTAGATCAGCCAAGTGGACTTTCTGTTTTTCCAGATGTGGTTTGAGCAGCTTAGCCAGTTATCTAACTATCTAATGGCAGAGTCACAGCTAGAATATAGCTGTCTTGAATTTCCATGTAGTGTATCTAAGGAGGAAGGTGTTCCTTAGTGAAGCAAAGAGGCTTTCCGGGGCCGCATTAATTTGCATTTTAAAGGCAGGCAGGGCTGTACACACCAGTAGTCCCAGCTACACTGGAGAAGTTGAGGCAGGAGGATCACTTGAGCTGAGGAGTTTGAGGCTACAGTGAGCTATGATCACGCCACTGTATTCCAGCCTGGGTGACAGAGCAAGACCCCATCTCTTTATAACAGTTGTGCTTTATACTTTGCTTTGGGGGCCAAGTGTTGCTATTTTAATTCTGCATTCTCTGGAAGCGGGATCCTGTGCAGTGCTCTTTGCCTGAGTTTCCAGGTGGCTCTGTGCTCCCTTCTGCTTGTGCCCTGTAGAGTGTTTCTGTGTTTCTGTGCCTTTAGTAGCTAGTATAGACCCATATCTGGACTTGCTGCCTTCCTTGCTTACTAGCAGTGTACTTGTGGACAAGCCCTTCCTTCACTTTCTGATTGGCCTTCTTGCCTGTCAGCTTGAGATCATGAATGATACACTCACTTTCTTATCCTGAGATTCAGCTATGAAAGTTCCTCTACTCGTGTGTGAAGCCAGGCCAACAATGTGTTGTGCTCTTACCGCCACACTCTCTTTCTCAGATCTTTGCCTGGGAGTCTAATTATGTTGTCCTGAGTAGGTGCTCTTTCTCATGGACGGGGTGGGTGGAAAAGGGCTACCTAGAGATGCTGTGTCTGTCCTGGCGTGGGGTTGAGGATGGAGGTCAGGGTGGGAGAGGCGGTGTCTCAGTTTGTTGATGATCCCTAGCTGTAATGAGAGCTACTGTTTGTTGACTTTGCAAGGAGGAAAAAGGCTCCACAAAAGGCAGAAATCTATCTTCAAGGAGCATTGAAAAATTACCTGGCTGAGGGCTGGGCACTCCCCATCACACACACAAGGAAGCAACTGGCGGAATGTCAAAAGCACCTTGGACAAATTGAAAAGTATCCTTTAATGTTTTCATGAAGCAGGAACATTGTTTTCTGTTTATACAGCAGCACTGACCACAATCAAATGTTTTATACACACCTAATATTAAGGAGAGAAAAGTCCTGCCTTATACATATATGTATTGTATAGAAAATGAATGAAATGTCTAGTCGGTTTTAAAAAATCTAATTTTGAAACAAAAGCCCTTTGGCTGTTGAAGCCTCTGGGGAGGCTGTAGGGGACTGTGCGTCCACTTTGCCCTGCACTCCTCGGTGTGAGTCTCCACGCTCCTTACCTTCCGCTCCAGCTACCTGCAGACCAGCAGCCTTTTAGCCAGTGACTGCCACCTCACCGAAGAGGAGCGCAAGCACTTCTGCCAGGAGATACTTGACTTTGCCAGCCAGCCATCAGACAGCCCAGGTAAGACCAGTTTTTAAGACTTTACTAGGAATATTTTCAAATATTGTAGAAGTAAAAAGAATGCAAGATAACCAGCCACTTAGAGTAAATCATTGCTAACATTTTGCTGTGTAGCTAACATGTATCTTTGTCTTTCCTGTGACTTTTTTCTTTTTGCTTAAAGTCTAAGAAACTATAGACCATGTTAGAACATCTAAAAATTAAGCACAGTCTCTTAACCACAACCAAAGAATTGATAAGGTTCTAATATCATCTAGTGAGTAGACTGTATTCACATTCCTTGTCTTAAAATATTTTTATAAATTATTCTTAACAGAGTCCAACAGGGTATCACATATTACATGTGGTTGTTAGATCTCAGTTCTCTTTTAATTTAAAAAAGTTCTTCCCATCTCTTTTTTTTTTTTTTCTTCCAGACAGAGTCTTGCTCTGTCACTCAGGCTGGAGTGCGATGGTGCGATCTTGGCTCACTGCAACCTCCTTCTCCCGGATTCCAGCAATTCTCCTGCATCAGCCTCCATAGTAGCTGGGATTACAGGCACCTTCCACCATGCCCAGCTAATTTTTTATATTTTTAGTAGAGACGGGGTTTCATTATGTTGGCCAGGCTGGTCTCAAACTCTTGACCTCAGGTGATCAGCTGGCCTTGGCCTCCCAAAGTGCTGAGATTATAGGTGTGAGCCACTGCACCCGGCCCCTTTTTCTTCATTTTTTTTAAGACACTGCTTTTTTTTTTTCTTTTTAAATATAACAGCATTCTTGTGATATTCACAAACCACGTAATTAACTCATTTATAGGGTATAATTCAATGGCATTTAGTATATTTCACAAATGTGTGTAACCATTACCACAGTCAATATTATTTTGTTTTGTTTTTTGACCATCTAGCTCTGTCACCTGGGCTGGAGTGCAGCGGCCTGGTCCCAGCTCACTGCAGCCTCCACCTCCTGGAATCAACTGATCCTCTCACTTTGGCTTCCCAAGTAGCTGGAACCACAGGTCTGGGCCACCACACCTGGCTTTTTTTTTTTTTTTTTTATTTTAACCCAGACTGGAGTGCAGTGGCACGACTGGAGCCCATTGCAACCTCTGCTTTTTGGGCTCAATTGCTCCTCCCACCTCTGCTTCCCCTGTAGCTTGGACTACAGGAGCACACCACCATGACTGGATGATTTTTCTGTTTTTAGTAGAGACAGGGTTTTGCCATATCACCCAGGTTGGTCTTGAACTCCTGAGCTCAAGGAATCTATCCACCTCGGTCTCCCAAAGAGTTGGGATTACAGGCGTGAGCTACCGTGCCTGGCCACTACAGTCCATTTTAAAACATATTTATCACCGTTAAAAGAAAGGCCATTCTTACCCCCGCCACTCCCTTCCTGCAGCCACTAATCTACCCTCTGTCTCTCTGGATTGCTATTCTAGATGTTTCAAATCAATGTAGGGCGAGTGTTCCTAATCTGGAAATATGAAATGTTCCAAAATTCAAAACTTTTTTGAGGACCAACATGACTCTCAGGAAATGCTCATTGGAACATTTAGATTTTTAGAGTTGGGATGCTCAACAGTATGTCATGCAAATATTCCCAAATGCAAAACAATCACAAATCCAGAACACTGTGTCCCAGTCGTCTTGGATAAAGGATACTCAACCTGTAGAATCTGTCAACCTGAATAACACACACAGAGAGCCTCTCTACAAAATGATAGTTATTTGGAAATAGGGCATTGCAGTGGGATACATGGGCCATAGTACACTTTGTGCATATTCAGGAAAGGGTTTTTAAAGGGAAAATGAGGATTACATCACTGGTTTGAGGTGGTGATTCTTGGCTACAAGTATCAATGGGGGTGGCGCCAGTCAGGGTTGGACAGCAGTTGCTGAGCAGATGTCTTCATGGAGGAGTGTTTTGTATAAAGTTGCAATGGCCTTTATGCAGGGCTGTGGTGTTTGCAGAGTCTTTCATGCATGAGAACCCTCCCTTCATGGCCTCCTCTGGCTCTATCAGTTACAGTTTTTTGTTGTTGTTGTTGTTGTTTTTAACACAAGTGACTCCCTTTTGATTTTGACAACTTTCACCCATCGTCCAGTGTGTGGTCTTTTGTGACTGGGTTCTAGACTGACCATCATGTTTTCAAGGCTCATTCGTGTTGTGGCCTGCGTCTGTGCTTCATTTCTTTTCATTGCTGAGTACTCCAGGCCAGCCGTCTTACAGACTGGCCCGCCTTCTGGAATTTATCTCAGTGTTTCCTCATAGGAGCATCTAAATGGAAGTTGGAGTAAGACGACATTTATTGCAAAGCTTAGCTCCTCACTTTAGTTGATCAGGTGTGCTTATTTAAGGTAGTTGCTGTGATACTCTACTTGGGCTAACATAACGGTACCATCGGCCTAGTGGCTTAAACAACAGGCATTTATTTTCTCACAGTTCTGGAGGCTGGAAGTCTGCTGTCAGGGGGCTGCAGGGCCGGTTTCTGGTGAGGGCTCCCTTCCCTGCTTAGAGACAGCTGCCTTCTCACGGTGTCCTCCCATGGTGGGGAAGAAGAGAGAGCAGGCTGTCTGATGACTCTTGTTAAGGAACAGTATCTCATCCCGTGTGCCCCCCTCACAATCCCATCTAACACCAGGCACCTCCCGAAGCCCGGCTTCAAATACCAGCACATCAGGGATTAGCGCTTCATTGCATGAAAGTTGGGGAAGCACAGTTCAGTCCATAGCCATAACTAACTACTTGGAAACCAGTTTTTCTAGAAGTTTCAGGGTCAGGTTGATATGGTTATTGACTGCTGGGGTATATTCACTTATCTCCCTCGGGGGCCAGGTGCGGTGGCTCACGCCTGTAATCCCAGCACTTTGGGAAACTAGCACAGACGGATCACTTGAGGTCAGTGTTTGAGACCAGCCCGGGCAACATGGCAAAACCCTGTCTCTAGAAAAAATTAGCCATGTGTGGTGGCGGGCACCTGTAATCCCAGCTACCCAGGAGGCTGAGGTGGGAGGATTGCTTGATTCAAGGAGGACCGGCCTGTAGTGAGCCGTGATTGTGCCACGGCACTACAGCCTGGCACATTTGTGAACCACTACAGCCTGGGCGACAGCGAGACCCTGTCTCAAAGGGAAAAACAAAAGCTCCATCTGGATGGGTTTTTCAGGAGCGCCCTGGGTCATTAGTTTGGCTTTGTAGATTCTTCAGTGTGCCCACATTGATTGTTGGTAGAGCCACAGCCACATCTGCTGGTTTGTATATGAGACTATTTGAGTTGTAATTTTCCTGCCAACACTCTTTGGTATCGCTATATGAATAAAACATTCCATAATTGTTTACTGTTTCTCATGATCTTATGGCATCAGTCGTGGCAAGTCCTTTAGTTGATGAATATTTAATAAATACTTAACTGGTCAGTTCTGCAGCTTTGTGGATTTTCTAGACAAAACCAAGGTTTTTATACAAAGGTCAACGAGAGAAGGGCCCAGAGGGAACATGAGGTCCTCTCCTCCAGCGACCATAGACCTACTGGTTGCTGCCGTCTTGGCTTCATTGGCTCACATGGTAGTCTGGCCAACACATCACAGCAGGGCACTTGGGCATCTTCACTGAGCACGTTTTTAAGTAGGTAGGAAAATATTGGAATCCCTTGGACACAGCTCTAGAAATTGGACTAATTACAAATTTTAGTTTGAAATTGAGAGGTAGTTGACCTGTATTTCTCTTAGGTTTGTCAAAGCAGACTTGAGAAGGTTAATTTCTGTACATTTTGTGATTTCTAGGCATGATATGGGCATTTGCTACCGTTTTGCTTTTGACACATAACTTTTTGGGGGTGTGAAGATGGCAGGAGCCTGGGCTGAGTGCCAGCGTTGTGCACGTCACTGCTTCTTGGTTGAGTCTGCTCTTGGTGATGTTCCTGTGTCCTCGGCCTGCTGCCGCTGACTGTCAGGAAGTGTGACTTGGGGAGTCACTGACGATAATGTATATTTGCAGGTCATAAAATAGTGCTACCCATGCATTCCTTTGCACAACTGCGAGACCTCCATTTTGATCCCTCCAATGCTGTGGTCCACGTGGGCGGCGTTTTGTCCATCGAGATAACCATGTACAGCCAGATGCCTGTGCCTGTTCACGTGGAGCAGATTGTGGTCAATGTCCACTTCAGCAT